CTGCATTCTTTTTTCATTAAATATAAGTATTTTTTTTAACACTTATTTTTCCTACAATAATATTGTTTGTGTCTTGTGGGGCTTAAAATTTTCGTGATTAGCAGCCCTTTTTGCAGGCCACTGACAAGCCTGAGCCTATTTAAAACCACGACGCGAATAATAACATTAGTGGTATTCACCAAAGTGAGCAAGTGGCCTGGCAGTCTGGCAAAAAGTTGTCAACAGTCGTTGCTTGAGCTCATCTGCTCTTTTGCCGGGCACTCGCCTAATTTGGTGAATACCACTATTATTTCCTCGTTGTCAGGTACTCGGTAGATCATAACAATTACATTGACAGTTATCATCATTAGTGCTCTTTACGTTTTTACGGCATAGTGGTAGAAACAGTAGTTAGGAAATTGGCGTGTGATGAGTTATGTCATTGGATTGGTAATATGGCTGTAGAGCTAATGAATGTTTGTTGTTATTATTAAAGAAAAGTCAGAGTTATTCAAAAAAATTGCAACTCGTCTTGCTGTGGGGAACATATAACGTACCTTTGCTGCAAGAGTGTCACAAGAATTATTTTTTTTGAGTTAAATAAGACCGCCACACCTCTTCTTATATGTTGTGTAAAAATTTCATAGCTGTATCGATTAACAATATGTACCTACCCTATTAGTAGAAAAGGTGTCTTCATTTTTAGCATGGGAGCATATGTGACCTTAAACTTTAAGACCGTTTTTCTCGAGTTTTTTATTTATTGGATTATGACACTCTTGCAGTAAAGGTATCATATGGACATATGTAGGTAAATACATACATATATTTACATACGTTTCAAAAAAATTGGCCGAGTCCCCAATTTGAAGATTAGTTTCGTATTTTTCTTCCTATAAGCAGTTAGCATTGCAAGAGTGGTTTACCCAACAGCGAATCGTCCTGATCTAATTCTTATTACTTATACTTAGTTCGTCTGTGACAGTATTCCCCTATTCGTTTGAAGCCTTTGTGGTTCCCCTACACCAAAGCTTTCCGTGCGCCTTTGTTGTTGCTGTGCCGCTCCACCGCGGTCACCTCTTCAATCATTGCATTCACTGTCGCCGCCATCCACGCTATGAACGTGTCAAATTATCCGCCAGCTGCATCTGTTATTTGGCGCGAAGCTACCCGTCGTCGCAACTGAAGCTGCCGGTGAGTTCTGCTTACTGTCTGTGTTTTGCCCCTCATCGCCTGAGACTTCATGAACAGCAACAATCATCATCATTATCATCATCACGTTTTCTTTTTGTTCTTCGCGTCGCGTCGGCTGATACTCCAGTTTTTCGTTGTGCGTGTGTATATATGGAAGTGTATTAAGAACGGTGACGTGCTGAATATGTGCTTGTTTGTTCGCACCATCTTGCTATTTGCCATCCGCCAAACCGTGGATGAATGTTGTCCTCGCTCGCCAACCGCTGGCTGTTTGAGTGTGTGACCAGCCGACATAATTCGCAATGCTTTGCAAAGCCTCCGCTGTCGTCGCACGCCTGTCCGTACAATCGGCAGACAGCTAGCGGTTCAGCCGACCTAAGCGGCTTTGGTTCCCCTGCCGCGTTGTCAGCATTTCGCTTTTATATAGTCGACTTGTGTGTGCCTTTCTGCTCACTTGCCGCGTTTACTATGTACTACTACGCCTTGTCTTGCTTCATTGCCTTTGGTATTGTCCTTCTTCCAGTGTTTCGCTTGTAGGTGAGGCTTTTTTATTTCTACTTGATTTTGTTTTTGAAAAATCGCTGTCGACGTTTTGCTTTGAATTCGTACGCAGTGCCGGCGGCTGTGGTATATGCACTTAGCAGTCACAAGTTGTAGCCTTCGCTAGTTGTTCATCAGTGGCATCGCTACGCTCACTAGCTCACTGCTCACTCATGCACTTTGCTCTGCTCCGCCCCACGCCACTTTATTCAATCGATCCTATTCCGTTTTGCCATTCACAGCATTCTGGCACGCTACATCTACGAGCAGAGAGGCAGTTAGGCAGCTAAGCAATCAGTCGGAAATGAACGTTTCAATCAGTCAGCAGTAACGAACGAATCGGCGCGCGCGTCTTCTCTTACTAGCTGTTATAACGCTTAACCAACGCTTTTTTTACTCCGTGTGCAGGTTACTGAGACATTTAAATTAAAATTTAAAACTGGCGGCACAAAACATCCCTCTACTAATGGCACCGAAGAAGTCGACAATCGTCCTCAACGTGGAGCAATTTATACGAGACGTCCAGGAACGGCCAGCCATTTGGAATCGCAACTTCCACTGCAACAAAGCATTTCTGGAACAAATGTGGGATGAGCTGTCCGCAGCACATAAATTGCCCAGTGAGTAGTTTACCGTTCACCGATTAAGCACATGTTTCCATGCTTGTTTTGGTTCTTATTTCTATTTCGTCTTTTCCCCCGCTATTTTTTTTTTTGTGATTGTAAACACGTCTTGCTGTGTGACTTGTCCAATGCAGAGGTAGTTCTCAAGGCTAAATGGAAGGGACTTCGAGATAATTTTCGTGTAGAATACAAACGCATTCCCCGCTCTGAACAAGGAGATTTCCTAGTGGAACCAGCTACATTCGAGTCTAAGTGGATACATTATTACGCTTTGCTATTTTTGAGTGAGTTCTTAATACATATGTATAATGGAAAATGGAATTTATGAAAGCAGCGGAAAATAGTAGTATGCTGGGGAAAGTAGACGATTTAGATTTTTAGTTAAACGAAATAAGAATAGAAGTTTCTTGTTTGCAAGTTTCTTCCTTCCACCCAATTTTAAGTTATTTGTGCCACCCCTGTATACACTGCTTTCTGCTGATTTCACATCGTTTAGTACAAAAGCTCGTTTATTTAAACCTAATTTACTGTTACAGCTGATCATATGCGTCATCGGATGCCTAAAGGCGAACAAGATCAGTCGTACTATTTTACACAACAGAGTCAGGATTGTGAGAAGACTGTGGTTGAGCCAGATCTCACGAATGGGCTTATACGTCGCATGCAAGACAGCGATGAAGAGTTCGATGAAGATGATGCCGATGAGGATGATGACGACGCCGCTGTCCCCACTCCGCCAGCGGCGCACACAAATTCTGTAACATCAACCACCATCAAAACAGAAGATGCACGTTCGATTCTAAAAAGCGCTGGCGTTTTACTACGAGCCGCACATCTTATCGATGATGATGGCGAAAAGGAGGCGCAGGACTTGTCAAAGAAATCAATAGAAGCAAACAATAACAACACTACTGTGAATAAAAACTGCAGCAGTACCTCCTTGACAAGCAGTGACAGCTCAATTTTACTGAGTGCTTGCATCGGCCACTCAATCACCACCACTGCACAAACAACTACAACCATCACACCACCATCAACCCCCATCTCGAGCATAGTTAGCGCAGCCAATGTTGCCGCAAATTCGCTGGCAGTCGCCACTCAGCAACACAAGATACGCTCTGTTTCACCGCCACCATTATACAACAAAGCGCATCACCCCCCACCAACAACTGCCGCCGCCGCCAATGCACTAACTACGGCTGTAGCCGCAGCGTTGAATAAGGAGCGGGAAGATTTCTCCTTGAACGGAAGCAGCAGTTGCTTGCACGGCAGTCATGAGCATTTGAATTTTACCAAACACTCATATTCGAATGGTTTAATACCGGCGCTGAAGTTAAAGCGTCCGCGGTTGTCGGAGGATAGTAATTTCAATGGGTCGTCCACGATGGATAATACAGCACCGCTGGTACCGGAAGATGATGACTATCACTACCTGCTCAGTTTACACCCCTACATGAAACAGCTGACAGCGGCGCAAAAACTGCGCATACGGACTAAAATACAAAAGCTAATATTCAAGGAGCTATATAAAGAGGACTTGGAGGAGACCAAATAAATAAATCGGAGGATAATTGGTTTAAGTCATAATGGAATTAGTTGCTCATTTCATTAGAAACTGTGAACACGACTTCTTTTTTAGTTTTGTAACATTAAAGCTCATTATATAAGACTGTAAATATACACATACATATGTATGAATGAATACTTAGATGTATTGCTTAGTTGTAAGTATACCTACATATACTGCTACTTTGTGTAGTATCCGCAACGCGGGGCATTGAATATGAAACTCTAGTTTGAACGTTTGCAAACGTGACTATTTGCTTACATAAGTCATTAATAAATTGTGAATTAATTCTAAGAAACTTCAGTGGTTTAATATTAAAATATATTTTTAATGTAATTTGAGGTAAGTGGTTGAGCATACAATAGGAGTACACATTCATGCCTATTACGGTATCCGGCGTATGCCAACCGCATGGATCTAATCTGATTCGCACTGTCATAACAAGCGAGAGTGAAAGATTAGATTCGTACGAATGGCATCCGTCGGATACCGTAATAGGCATGATTAATTCTTGTTTTCACTATGTCAACAGATTGTGGATGAGTTGTCAGAGGTGCGTACTACCGCTCCGTAGGATCTGGGTCCGATTCCTGGTCTAGGTAACATCTAAATTAAACTTAAAACTGTATGTCCCTCCATTTGTATAACAACATCAAGACGCTGACCACAAATTGCAGGAGAAGCCCGGCCAAACACTTAGCAAAAGTGTATGCGCCAAAATATTATTATCATTATTAACAGCATTACGATTAATTTCATTTAGTATTCAAGCCTTGCTTAAATGCCTATCTGGTAGCGTTTGGATCATAACATTAGGCGTGTTTTATTTGATATAATTATGTCGGCTAAGTCTTCCATACAAACTGAGTTAATATTTTTCTATTTCTGGGCAAAACCGTTTATTATCAGTAACGGCAAGGATTAAGGAGATGAAAGTTGTATCAAAATATGCCGAAAAATTTTGTTAAAAAAAACTCAATGGAAACCAGCCTCTAGGCTTTTGAAAACATTTGAACTATTTTCTTTATTTTAGAATTTAAATTATAAAATTCACATTAAAATGTTAAATATATTTTCTGGTTTCGTTTTCGTCAAAGGTGAAGTTTACGTATTAGATGATGGCGGCGAAGTCGATTTGGATTTGGGAAATTATGAGCGATTTCTGGACATAACTTTGCACCGTGACAACAATATAACAACTGGTAAGATCTACCAAAAAGTTATTGAGAAAGAACGGACCGGTGAATATTTGGGTAAAACTGTGCAAGGTAATTCAATGGTCATTCCCTCTTATAATTTGCTATAGTAAATAATTGCACTTTCAGTTGTACCTCACATTACTGATTCCATTCAGGAGTGGGTAGCTCGGGTAGCACAACGCCCAGTACAAGGAAATTCACAGCCGCAAGTGTGTATTGTCGAATTGGGTGGCACGATTGGTGACATTGAGGGTATGCCTTTCGTTGAGGCCTTTCGCCAATTCCAATTTCGTGTGAAACGTGAAAATTTTTGCGTCGCACATGTCTCGCTTGTGCCATCGCCACGTTCCACCGGTGAACCGAAAACAAAGCCCACCCAGAGCTCTGTGCGTGAATTGCGCGGCTTCGGCTTGAGTCCTGATTTGATTGTTTGCCGCTCGGAGAAGCCAATTGGACTGGAAGTGAAGGAAAAAATTAGTAATTTCTGTCATGTTGCTCCCGATCAAGTTATATGCATACACGATCTGAGCTCAATTTATCATGTGCCGCTCTTGATGGAACAGAACGGAGTGATAGAGTTTCTCAATGAGCGTCTGCAGTTGAACATCGAGGCAGCAAAGCGCGAGAAGTAAGTATCTATGAGTTGTTTCAAAGCGCTGAGCGTTCATTTTAAGGCGATCGACCTCAAACTTTTTATATATAGCGGTTTTTTGCATCTATGTATGTTTTTCGAATATCGAAGTGTTTCGTATTATCACGTGATCGTCGTAACCACGTATATATTACGAACCAATTTAAAAATCTTAATATAAAATACGGCAAATGAAAGCTAATGACATTCTCCATAAACCATATATACATCACTTTCTGACAAATTAATTACTCATTCCAGTTTTTCCATTTTTTTATTTTTTTGCCGCGACTATGAATTAAAATTTTGGAACAAATGCAGAATAGCTCCGAGCTTCAAATTAAAAAAATTAGTATTGGGGTCGATAGAGATGATCGAGCTGAACATAAGGCTATATTTATTTTTTGTGGAAACAACAACTACAGAAGTTATTAAGAGTCAAAGTTCAAATTAAACAATTCTTTAAATCAAAATTTTTTGAAAACGAAAGCCTGGAGAAGCGGAATTCCTTTATGCGTACATTAATAAGATTTTTGTGAAAACTAAACAAGGCATATATAAAGTATGTACATCAAATTAAAGGGAACTAAATTTCCTATCCATTGAGACCAAAACTTTTAAAATCCATACATACATCTTTAAGAAATTTTGATTTAAAAAATTGTAGTTGTTGTGTCTGCAAGAAAACTCACCTTAATGATCACTATCGATCCCCATGTGTTTTTTTTAATTTGAGAATCGAAACTATTCTGCATTTATGCTCAAATTTTGCTCAACTTCTGAAATAGGACAGAAATGCAACTCTGAAAAATCACGCACGCAAATTTATTTCGGTTACTCAAATGTGAAAAACTTGCGTGCGTGCGTAGAAAAATTCACGCCGGTAATATTAGGTTGGCCTGTTAGTAATTTGGTTTTTTTTTTTGTAACAGAACAGGCTTTAGTAGAAATGCCAAAATTTGGCCCAGAACCTGTAATTTTTTAAATTTTTCTTCTGTTACAGTTTGATTTTTTTTTAATTTTTTCATTAAAAAATAAAAAAAGCTGGAATGATTAATTAATTTGTCAGAAACTATACGCCCTATCGGGAAGCGATGTATATACGGTTATGGAGAATTTCATTAGCTTTCATTTGCCGTAGTTTATATTAAGATTTTTAAATTGGTTCGTAAGATATACGTGATTAAAAGAAACCAATTTTTGCTTTAAGCTGAATAACGGTAAAATGAAAACATCTTGAAAACGTATCCATAGAAAAAAAATTAACTCGATTTTCGGAGTCGCCGAGCAATTCTACATAGGAATTGGATAGTGGCATCCATAGAACATTTTTGCTGTAAACCGGTATTATTATTCAAACTCTTTCTATGATTTAAGTTCAAAAAGTTATGGTGAAATGAATTCCAATCTACATTTGCAGCTATTTCGTGCATATGTTGCACGACATACAAATAAAACAAAAGCAGCGTGCCAGGAAAGTACAAACATCTTCTGGAGAGATGCTAAGAAAACTTGTGCAGACAAAACTCATAACGAAAGCATTATTTTAAATAGAATTAAAGAGCTACAGCAGGCAACGACAAAAGTTAAGATCGCCAATATTGCCCAGTACTAACAAAACCGAAATGAAAAGGTGATGACAGATTTTAGTTTATTTAAAGGTTGTACATTTCAGAACAATGATAAAGAAACGCCTCAACTGAACGATAGTTCTACACCCGCAGTTGAAACCGACTGCAGCCAGAATGAAACCACAGACGTAGTTCAAAATAGCAATAACTCTGAAGAGTTTACTACGTCAATTTGTCGTAATACCCCAGCGCAGGATGTTCTGCGGAATCAACTTTCTTTACTGAAAGCTGAATACAATGTGGCAAATCAAACGAAATTTCTAAAATCAAAAAACGTATTGAGTCTTGTAAAAAATATCTCAAACCTTAAGCGACCTTCATGAAAAATTGTTACATCTCGGTTGCCAAATATCTAGAAGCGCGACATATTTGCGATTCCTGCTAAATTAAGTCGTAGGCGGATTAGGGTTGTTCGACTTCACTAGAAAGTCGACTTTCGACTTTTCGATCGACTCTGTACAGTCGACTTTAAAAGTCGACCGATCCACGAAGAAAAGTCGACTTTGTTCGACTTTTTTCGACTTTTTTAATAAAAAGAAAATGTATTAAGTATACTCTGCATTTAACTCATATATTAGCTATAAATATAAGAGTCAGAATACGCCAAAAATATCATGATTTACTAGTGGTCTTTAGAATAATCTGTAATTTAGTGAAATTCAATGCTAGGTAAAAAAAAACACACTATAGGATTTTTAAAAATTTTGGATTTTGTTCCAGTTCTAAAGCATGAAAATGCTTATTTTTGAAAAAAAATTTTAAATTCTCACAAAAAAAATTCTACAAATTTTTTGAATCGATATTTGGTAATTACGGACAACTTTTTGAAAAATGTGGCCTTTCCGATGGAGCAGAATTGGCGGGTTTTGGTAGAAATATAAGTACCACTTTATAAGCATGGATAAATATGGGAGTAGCCCAGACAGCTAGTGGATTGGGACTATCCACACGACTAATGTCGCATATTAACTGGAATCCTACCAGCAACGTTTTTAGCGGTGTTTAAAATTTTGTACCTTACAGATTGGTCAAATTCGAACCAAAGACAGTCTGTAAAAACTTACATAAACCCAAGCAGAAAAACTTTCTTGCATGAAATTGTTAAAATAAATATAATAATAATATAATATGTTTATCTTACCTCATTATTAACTGAAGATTGTGGAGACAAACGATTAACAAATTTGAGGAATTCGTTTTCGTATAATAATTTTATGCGCTGCTCTTAAATGATTTGTACTGTTGTACTGCCATTAAAATTCATTTCGCTACCACACACACATTTCACTTCAGTTTTATTGAGATTTTTTTTTAAATACGACCAAACAGCACTCCGCGCGCTTGTTAGAATATCAGTTTTTATTGGCAAATAAATTAAAAAAAGTCGAGAGTCGAAAGTGAAAAGTCGACTTCAGTCGACTTCCATAAACTGAAAGTCGATCACTAAAATTCGACTTTCAGGAGTAAAAAGTCGATTTTGCGAAATGTCATAAAAGGTTAATGTGGACGTGTTAAGTCGGCTATTTTTGTGTTTTCTGACGGAGGCCCGGATGAAAATCCCGGATGAAAATCAAAATGTCAACAAAATGATCACGTGATTTCTGAACGCCCCCTGATTTATCTATATGACAGCATATTAAATTTCACCTTAAATACAATTGATTTTTATCTATTAATTTTGTAACCAATATGGTTTAGCTTTATACAGGGAGGTTCTGAATTTCACAATATCTCAGTCTCAGGCAAGCCTGTAAAAATTGCAATCAAATTCGATTGCAATCGCATATTTTACGTAATATTGCAATCTGTTTTAATTTCAATCAGCATCGATTGCTTATATTTTGATTGCAAAAATTAAAATTTGCAATCAGTTAAAATAAATTGAATGCAATACATTTTTGATTCCAATTAATTTTTGATTGCAATCATTAATTGCATAAAAATGCTAATTACAATCTGTCGTAACCAGCACTTGTTATAAGCTTTTAAATCAAATTTATTTTAATGACACACGCAAACTTTCAATGTGTTAACGCAGCGCAAAGTGAACACTTTACGGCATTACACCAAGCAGTAGGCTGTTTTGATTGTCGTCTTTAATGTTCCGCATATATAAAAGTGCGTGCGTCGATTTTCTGCATGACAAACATCACACCTCCGCTCTTCGTTTTCGCCGACATCACCCAGCACACTCCAGCAACACTCCCCAAAAAGTCTTTGGGGAATTTGTATGCTGCTACAACAACAACAACCATTCTTCGTTGTTGCTATGCCTACTGATGTGGTTGGTTGGGCGAGCCTAACATATTGACAAAAAATTGTCATCTTTCACACAGATTGTTTTTAGAGCATTATGAACCATATTTGTGCTATTACCAATCAATATTCTAAAGCAGATTTTGGGCCCACGCTAGTCCTTATTATCTAAGGAATAAAGCCTGGTATACAGAAAAACTAAACATAACAAGTTAAGTTCGGGCGGAGCCGAACATTAAATACCCGGCGCAAGTATTAAGTATATGTTTTCACCAACTTCCGCGACATAGTAAGCAGGGGAGGTTTTACCCCTAATTTAAACATCTTCGACGGAACGAATTTTCGGCCCACGCTAATAAGGACCAATTGGTGAAAATTTCAAAGAAATCCGCTTATGATTTAAAAAAGTTATGTTACTGTAAGTAGTAAAATGTACACGCACTCGTTTTTGATCGCCAGTATACATACTTCGCTTGACCACACAAACTAAAAGTGTCGTCGCTAATGGCTCTGCCAAATAGCAATTCTTTAAAATAATTCAGAAGTTGTCATATTTGTCTTATCAGCTAATATTTTCAACAGTCTTCAATATTTTTGCCGTTTTGTGAATAATATGTTTTTCAGCAGCAATAACTTTCTGAAGACTGTTGTCAAACCTAAGCATATAAGACAAATAGATTGCGACGATTTATCCTTTGTCACTTACTTCATAAAAGCACGCAGAAATGGCACAACTACAGCCGCCATCACTACACTAACATAAACCGTGAACTCAAACCCCAATTTATCGTACGACAATTTTGAAACTGCACATTCAAATTTTCTTGCGTCTCCGTCTTGGTCACACGCGTTGCACCCACGAACACCTATTGGGTAACCCGCCACCATCTTGGCCGCGCAATTGGATTTAACTTTAAAAAACATATTCTCCGAGTGCACTTCTCTGGAAGGAACTAGACGCCGATACTTCAAACACAACTGGGTCGAGCTGTTTAGTAACTCCACAAAGGACAACATAAATTCCGTCATCAGTTATATCAAAGCCGTCCAAATACCTATCTAACAGCCGTTTCTGTAAAATTCTGATATATTTTCCTTTTTCTAAAACAC